TAATGACATCATACTTCTCAGACTGAACAGAATAGCTGAAAAGAAAAAGAATGATAAACATGCTTGTTCTCAAAGAGAGTTTTAAAATGCTATGTGATACACAAAGTTATATGTCTCTCTCTCTCTCTATATATATATATATATATATATATATATATGTGTGTGTGTGTGTGTGTGTGTGTGTGTGTGTGTGTGTGTGTGTCTGATTGAATAAATTACAGACATGATGTCTGCTAATTTTTTAAATAAAATCCGTTCATACTCACAAATAATCTTCCGTGTATTGATGTTAAAGGATGAGAGAAATGTGCTATAGCTGTTTAAATTTCTTTTATTTTCATTTCCCAAGTACTTTCGATCATTAGTACAAGTATTTATACAAAGTTGTGCATTGTTATACATTACCATATTTTTTTCATTATACTTTTAAATGTAAAATGGTTGGCAATGTGTCGAGCATTTTTAGAACAAGAAAAAATTATCCATTATGGAATATTTTTTCATGTTATAATATGGTTATGTGCGCATTAAAGCATGAATGAACAACATATAGTTTTGTACTTATATATATATATATATATATATATATATACAGACATATAACTTTGTGTATCACATAGCATTATAAAACTCTCTTTGAGAACAAGCATGTTTATCATTCTTTTTCTTTTCGGCTATTCTGTTCAGTCTGAGAAGTATGATGTCATTATATCATGGATATAATAATGCCTATAATGGGAGAATAAATCTTTTGTCCATAGCTCTCTACTATTATAACAACAAACTGCATCCATATTTCTGAGGATAACCTGTAGGTAATTATAGGTAAAGAATCTGAAAAATTGACAATTCTGTTTTTATTTGGGAATTTCTTAAAAGATGGGAATTTTAAAAGAGCAGATATTGTAAAATCAATATATTCCAAGACACAAATTGTAGACTGTCTTTATAACTGTGATAAGTAATGTCAAGGAAAAAGGTGACTTTGTCTGAAAAGGCACTTGCAATATTTAAAATGTAAATGAGGTTTGTGTCAAGGGAAAGCTTCTGTCATTATTTATAAATAAAATGAATCAACGAAAACACCATCGGACAAAATTGACAGCTGAAATAGTAATACATTATACAAATAATAACAGGGGATAAAAATGAAGTGTTTAGAAGCCAGGTGGAATTAAGTTGATGTCATAAATAGAGACAAAGAAAGGTTTTAGTTTTAACTAAATCTGCATGCAGGCTAGGCATAAATTTACTTTCTAACTAATAACAATGGCAACTTGTACAGAAAACTAAAAAAGTATCTTCCAAAAGTTAAAATATTAATGGCTGTTTTCAAATAAAATTCACTTACTAAAATATAGGGCAGGAATGGGCTCCCCTCTGTAGTTCCACTAGTTCAGACTTTTATTACTAGGATTCACCATGTTACATCCACAGAGTCAAATCATACACATTTTCTCCATATTCCATTTGTAAAGAGGAAGTTCCACTTACACAGCTTTTTCTTACTCTGTTAAACAAACTCGCATGTGGATGCTTCCCTGAACATTACAATCTTAACTTCTTTAAGTGTCAAGTGCTATCTAGCCTTCTTATCCTCATAATATTTATTTTCATCTCACTTCATATCACATGCCACATTCATGTTCATATCACATGCCACATTCAGTAACCCTCTACCATCTTGAGCCTTGGATTAGGTGGGGAATTTTAGTATTAAAAAAGAAAAGAAAAAGTAAATATCTGACTATAAATGAAATAAGAATATTGTTATACCTTACTTATGGACTATAATGGGTATGTTCCAATCCTCATAAATACAGTGGAATATACTGTCTGGGATGGGGATTGACCACTAGTTCACCTCTAGCAGTGGATTACTTACTACAGGCCACTGGTGAATTTTGTATGTTGCTAATGTTATAAAGATTACTGTTCCTTTTCCAACCATCATTTTGGTTATTCTTATTCAGTAACCTTTTTTAGGTTACAACATTTTGGCAAAGAGGATTTGGCCAAACTTGAGTAAACATTCACCAGTACAATGTTTGGCGAACAAAGATTTCGGCAGAACAGAATGCACATAAATGTTCACAAATTTGTTATTCTACAAATGAAGATACTGGCAAAACTCACGTGATATTTATCAAAGCTACAAAGCATTTTTAGTTACAATGATTTTCTAAACAAGTTGTTTGAAATACAATATTGAGAAAAACATTCCAACTACAAAGAACTACAAAAATGTAATGAAAGGTACGTGAAATTGAACTTTAAAAAAATCATGTATTGTTGAGAGGATTCTTGGTGTAAAGGTGTTGCATTGGTATTTTATTGGTAGGAAGTGTTTTTAGAAACAGTTGTGTAAAAAAAAATATTTTTGTGGAAAGTTAGTTCACATAAAGTACAAAATGGTGGATTATAAAACAGTTTTACTGGAAATATTGAGACAAGACAAACAATAGAGACATTATGAACAAAGATTGGAAAAACTTGTAGAACAACAACAGAAAATGTTAATGAGTAACAAGAACGAATATTCAGAGGACACTATCATAAAAGCGACTGCTGAATTTTATTATATGCCAGAAAAGAAGGTAACTTTTTCATCATATTTCCCTAGATACGAAGACCTTTACAAAATGGACTGTGCAAATTAGTCCGACCACAAAAAGGTCAAATCAGTGCTAAAGAAACTAGGAGCTGTCAAACACACAAAGTTCTTAAATTACATATTACCAAAGAAAACTAGTGACCTAATGTTAAAAGAAAATGATACTGTGCTTTTGGAAGTTTTCAGCCCAAACACGTCATTTTTCCATAAAAGATGGAAATGTATGAACTTAGTAAAAAAGGAAGATGATGATTTCATAACATTTGTGAGCATTGTGGAATATACTGTCTGGGGGAATTCACCACTAGCAGTGGATTACTTACTACACACCACTTGTGAGTCTTGTATGTTGTTAATGTTATATAGGTTACCGTTCTATTTCCAACCTTCATTTTGCTTATTCTTATTCAGTAACCTTTTCTAGGTTACAGCAAATATATTCTTCTTCAACAAAGGTAATACTTTTTGGATAACAGGGTGAGACATTTGCATCATTTAATTAAAATTTGGAATGTCCAGGATCACAGGTTATACATATGGCTTCTATAAGAAGTTCATCTGCTATTTGATGCAAAATTCAGGTGTACAAAGCTGTCATCCTAACAACTCTATTATATGGCTCTGAATCATGAACTCACAGGTTACATATAAACTAGCTGGATGTATTCCATAAAATCTGCTTCAGGGCAAAGTCTCCAATGCAAGATTGGAGGTAATGAAACGTTTCTTATGCAATCACAACTCTGATGGGTTGGTTATGTTATCAGAATGGATACTTAACATGTAGAGCCAACTCGATACTGGAGAGGGAAATGTCGTCAGGCCATGGCTGAGATATAAAGACAATTTCAAGAGCAATCTTGCAACTGTCAACATATGTTACTCAACATTTGAGGCAGTGGGCCTGGATAGACAGGAGTGGAGAAGTAGAATGGTATCAAGATCTACAAAAAAAGGTCAGATTGGTTGGCTATGAGAATCAAGAGTAAGGACTAAGGTCTCATTAGCCATAACAGCAACCACGTCTCACAATCCTCACACTTGCAAAACTTGTGGGCTTGTATGCAAATCAATGGCAGGACTTAAATATTATACCAGGCATGAACACCCAACACCCAAATTGAACATTTTGTTGGACATTCGTACATCAAAATCAATAGAAAACAGAAAAGTCATGAGCAGGAGTCACAGAGGAGTGTGGGCAGTAGACAGGGTTGGGCAAATCGAGCCTTCCTTATAGCACATTGCAGATTCTTTTCATGTAACAGGTTGAACTTGAAAGTCTCAGTTGGATGCCCCCCACCCAACTCCTTGATGGTCATATGCCAGGAAGGCCGATTTGCAACAACAGTTTCCTAGGTCTCAGGGTCAATTTTGGCTTGTGCCAGGGATATCTTCAACTGATATCCGAAATGTCATTTTAGGCCTCCTGCTGCTGGTGAGCTATCCAAACAAGATGATATGAGGGAGTACAGTGGGATGCATTCTGGACACATGGCTCACTCAGTGGAGGTGATGTTGAAAGATGGTGGCCTCAATGTTCCCAACTGATGTGAAGGATTCTTTGGAAATTTGTTTGCTGGAACTGTTTCAGACATTTGATGTCCTGATGACACAAGGTCCACATCTCAGAAGGGGCCTGGAAGACCATGATTTTGTTCTTATGGTGAGGCCATAATTGTTGAAGACCTGGTGCAAGAGCATTCCACATGCAGCATGATCCGCTTTGATCCTGTTGTCAAGGTCTTTATTCACAGGTGACACTATTTGAGACGATACTACCAAGGAAATTTGTTGGCAACTTCTACTGGCTGTCTGTCAATGTTGATGATGACATCCAATGTTGATTGTCTTTGTCACATTGACCTGCATTCCAAAGCGATTGTAGCCTTTTGCAGTGGTCCAGGATGGTGGTACTGTCCGAACCCTTAAGGCCTGCCACTGTTGATTTGATGGTGTCACAGATTTCCTTCATGGATACATAGAAGTGATGTATATCTCATTGGTCCACAAATTTTGGGATTTTCACTGCCTTTATCTGCCACCAGGTGTCCTGGATTGTGCAGAGTCATCTTTGGCAGTTTTTTGTTGCCTCCTGAGAGATCTTTTCCGTTTCAACTAAAGGAAGGTTCTTGAAAGCCAGGTGTGGTTCCTGTTTTTTATTGATGAACTAGTTAATTTCTTCCTGATGCTCATTGAATGAGTCCCAATTTTTCTTTTCTAAAACCCAAACACTTCTTCAACTGTTGATATCATAACATTGTGAAGGGTTGTCTATCTTCCACTGATGGTCTCCACATTCAGTGAGTCATCGAGATGCTTTTCAACAGATAGTCAAAAGAACTCTGTGATTTTTGAGGGGCCTGGAACTTCACATAGTTAAAACATCGGTGAAGCCTGACTTCAGGAAGACACCTAGGTAGTTGGCGAACAGAGATCTTGAAATGCGAGAACAGAAGACGGTGGTCTGTATAGCAATCGTCCACCCCAGGCACAGAATGGGTGATGTGGACATCCCTTTTGTCCCAGGATTGAATGAGGACATGGTCCAAGGTGTTCCAGTGCTTGGATCTTAGGTGTGCCAGTGTTTGGATCTTAGGTGCTACCATGTTGTTTTGTGCTGGTTTGGGAGTCGGAACAGGGTGTTGGTTACAGTCAAATCATGTCCTGTGCAGAAACTGAGAAGCAGATGTCCATTTGCATTACAGTTGCCAAATATCATGGCAATCAAAAATGCCCCCCTCCTCCCCAATGTAAGGTGATCCCTCTGGCACTGAAGTTGCCAAGAACCACAAGTTTATCTGGTACAGTTTGTTGAGTCCAAAAGAGAAAAGTGGGGGTGTGCTCAGATGGAGATGAAAGTCAGGAAAGTACCTTAATTGATTGGGATCCAGAGGGACATCAAATATCTGCAGATGGCAATGGGGACGAAGCTGTGCTACTCCACAAGTTATGGTCTTTATAGCAAAGCCAACTCTATGAATGTGTGGTCCGCATGCTTCACCACCTCCCTTTCTAAAAGATTGTATAGGTGGATCTGATTTCTCTGACCTTTGGTGAATTTGGTTTCACTCAAAACAAGCACAATGTTAACAGTGGCCAGCTTGAGACAAAGAATTGCTGTTCTCTCTGAGTGTTCTGTGTCTTTGATGTCCATCAATGTACATATGTTCCATGCCCCGATAGTCAAAGGATTAAAAGCAACAGTATGAGATCTTAAATTTGGGCCACAAGAATGGGTAACCTGCTGACTGCGGTTAGGCAGCCAGATGTATTTACAATGACCACTGATTACTTCATATTTTGTAAGGGTTTTCCCCACTTGGAGTAGGTTGTGGGAATCCAGAATAGGCCAGCCCAGTCATGGATTAAGGACCTCCAACTAATCAAGACACCTCTGTCACTTGCAGGACCATCACCATTGGACTTGCTGAAGGGTGGACGAAAGTGAAGTGAAAGAAAGTTTCATGAGGCCGTTCACATGAATTTGATGAACTACTCTGAATGACTGAGAAGCCGACACATTTTGCCAGAAGTACATCCTTCATGGGTCAAAGGGGATTCAGACAGATGAGACCTGGCAAACCTGGTTGCATCAGGCTGTTAGATGCTTGGTCTGTCAAGGTGTGCCCAACAGCGCTGCCCTCTTCTGCCAGTTTGGCCATTGAGATCATGTACATCTTCTTTGACTCTTCTGCCATTGGGGTCTTCAAGGGTGTGTCGCATTCAGTCTAGTCCCTCTTCTTCAACTTGCTGCCTTGGGAGGCCTTCAGGAGTTGAAACTCCAGATAGCTTCACTCTTAGGATCACTGGGACACACAAGCCCTCTACCATGGCAAATAATGACCATTGGAGGATATATATATATATATATATATATATATATATATATATATATGTGTGTGTGTGTGTACATATACACACACAAAATTCAATACCTTGACAAGTTCAGTTTTTACTTATGCAGGTTCTGATGTATTACAATTAAATGTAGTAATGGAAAAAGAAAATAATAAAAAGCATTAAGTCAGTTAATATATTGGATCTTAATTAAAATGACTTGTAGCCAATGAAACTCTCTTGGAGTTAGAGCAACAATGACAAAAAAAGACAATGGTGATGTCAGAGATATTGATGTTCCAACAATAGAACTTTAATTTGACAAACTGTCAACTTTTATTTGAAAAACAAATGTTACTGATTTCCTTATGGAAACTTTCAAAATGATACTCCATCTGACAGTAGCATAATTAAAGACAAAAACAAGAAAATAAAATTACAAGCTTGACAGGAAATAATTAAAAAAAAAATTGCCAATAGCATTCTTTTCCTTGAATCACATATTTTTATGTTTGCTCTACATTACATGTATGTGTATCATCTATGAAGGGTAAGATATTTTCATTTTTATTATCTTACAGAAAAAACAAAATTTACTTCTATTTTTTAATTTAAGAACCTAGAAATTACATTCTTTACCACTGACCTCATTTCTTTTCTCTTTGATAGGTGTCATCAAGAAAGAGACCAATCAATGGTTCCACAATACTAAGGATTATGTAAATGCCACTGTCATTGACAAGATGGCTGACAATGAATGGCAATCCACAGATTCAGTTATGAAGTTGTTTCTGAAATCTCAAAGAATACACCATCAAATCTCAGGGTTGGTTTCATCAATAAACTTTTACTAAGTATTTTTTTTTGACATTCATAAAAAGATTTCTGCAAAATTTATTCATTTTTTTTTCCATCAAGATAAATGGTCTTCATTTATTTTATACTATACTAGCAGCATGGCCTGGTGTTGCCGGTGCTTGATTAAAAAATCGTACGAATCATACAGCAATCGCTATCACTTGACTTAAAATATTTTTGCCCTTCCTTGCCTTTAAAGAAGTGTCCTTTGCCGTGCTGATGTTGCTACATGCTTTACTTCTTGCCCATCTCACACTGCAAATTTTTTCTAAGTTCTATACTAAACATTAAATCTATTATGAAAAAAGAACTAAACAAAATGAACACAAAATGATCAGCTTTAAAAAAGGACTTGTAACTGGAAAAACCGAATGAAAAAAGAATGTTAAAAACAAATACTTTTTCACACCCAACCCAGTTCTGCGGAATCAGAATCAACGTTGAGTTTAAGCAAGCGAATGAGCCAATTGGAGTAAAGTGCCATGCAGATTTAAATTTTTCTCACTTGTGACAAATGCAGCTATCGATTTTTTTTGCATGCTAGCATGCTTAGTTAGCATTTGTGTCCGTCAGCTGTTGGCTCTCACACTGGCCAATAGAATCTTCCTGCCTATTCGTGGCAGCCAGCTATAGGCTCTCACTCTGGCCAGTACAAAATGGCTGCAAACTACATGAAAACTGCCGTAGAAGCATGAAAAAATCGATTATTTCCACTATCGATGGGAGTTGGGAAATGCAAAGTTGGTCTTGGCCTTCCCGCTAACTTGCAGCATGTGCATGTAAATTTTGGTGCAAATCCATCGAAAATTGCAGCTGTGCATTTTCTACACACACACATCCTGCCTTTTATAGATAGAGATATATATATAAGATTTTAAGTGGTTCTCTTTCTAGCTGAATAACTCAAAGGGTTTTTCAGTGATTCTTACGACAAATGGTATTAAGATGGAATGTCTTATCCAGGGAGAAAAGAAACTCAATTAGTTTAGAGGTTTTTTAGATATTAAAAATTTAGTGGGATGAACAATTATGCTTTAACAAAATTTGGACAATTTTGCTGTTACACCCTGTGTGTGTGTGTGTGTGTGTGTGTGTGTGTATAGAGATATATATATATATAGATATATATAAAAAAAAATAGCTGGCCGCTCTTAGTTGAAGATACCTGTCTACTAGGGCAGCTAGCCAGTTCCTATTGCAGAGTCTCACTCAGACACGTTTGTGTTTGTTCAGCACCCACAGAGCCAATCTGTGGTTTATACTGCAACTATGCTGAGCAGACCTTAGTTACAGTTTCTGGGAGAGAGCATGTTAACTAGAATGATCAACAATATGAACAACACTAGCACACTCAAACCCTCAGTCATGATGACTTGCGACTTCCTGCTAGCACAGCTACCAATGGCCCCAAGTGTTCTGTCTACCCAATTTAACTCACGAGGCTTGGGTCAACCTGTGGTATGATTTTCAGGCTGCATGTTGGTATTGTCCGCCCTCCAGACTGATAACACCAGAAAGTCTCCTTCCTGACAAATCGCCCATGGTGAAATTCGAACCCAAGTCTTATGGTCAGAAAGCGAAAGGGTGGCAATAAAGTCACTATGCAGTTACTAACAATAACAATTAAGACAAAGCAATTTAATCAACAGTGCAGAAATTTATTAACCTTTACCACACTGCAGGTGACAATAGTCGCTGTAGAATTCTCTCCCTTTGCTACTCTAGACGCATTTCTGTCGCCTTGATACAGTTGCTATAAATAAACACTTGTCAACTGTTATTTCCGGTATTTTAAGCTGGAAATCACTTGCTACTGTTTTGGAAGAAGGCCAAACTTCCAATGCCATTTTGAATTTTAAACACTAGGAAACATGTCACTTTTTGACGAAATGAAAGCATTCTTAGCAATTTTGCTTCTTATTGCACCCCAGAACTCCACAGGAGTAATAAAAGTTGAAGTACCTTAAATTATTTATGTATTTTTTAATGCATTTGTTTTTTATTTCGGGTTTCAAATTTTTTTGTTTTCGAATGTCAAAACATGCATGCAAAATGTAATGGATTACATCAAAATATTACTCATTCATTCTTTTATTAGTGTACAAAAATTAAAATCTATATGCACAATATAAAGAAAGTTATAACAATTTTAAAACAGTAGGTGTTCATGCTTTTGCACCCTCAAAAAAATGCAGTGGCAGGGGAGACAACTCTAGAAAGAACTTAGCATGGTAAAGGTCAAAATGGTTCTGGTTAATAATAAAATTCTATTGTAAACTATTGTAAATTAATTACTGATACTCTTCCAACTGCAAGCCATACTTTGCTTTTTTATTATAACTGTATAGTGACTTTATTGCCACCCTATATGTAATATATATATAGATATATATATATTACTAGCATATGAACCAGCATGACTGTCTAGTAGGGCCATATATATGTATATATACTAATAATAGATAGATATTTTTTTCTTTATTACTTTGTACGACTCTGAAATGTCAGGCCATTGTGTACTATTTGATATTTCTTATTAATATATATATATATATATATGTATTTTAATGAAGGTTGAGGGTTTATTATAATCTCCTGCACTGTTAGCACAACTTGGAGTTTCATGCCAAATGCAAGTGTATATGGACCGTTAATTGAATCTAATTTGAAATTATATTAGTTTATTATAATGCTGACATAGTTAAGCACTATTTATATAATGATATAATTTTTTGAAAAACTTAAAAAAAAAATGTTAAATTAATTATATTTCTCATGATATTAAATCTAGCAACTATATCAAGTGGTAAAAATATAAAAGATAAGTGATTATTAATTTAATTTTAG